TTTGTTGTCTTCCTCACACACACAACGCCTATGGCACTGGACAGGTCATTTCAGCCTTGTCAATTTGTACCTGTCAAAACCCAGTTGTAACCTGTTTCACCAGCGTTCTGGCAATGCATTAGCTGATGTTTCAAAAGCACTGCTGTGTAACTAACCCTTGGTGAGAATGCACATGAATTGTGTAAGCACTGCCCTCTACCGTGGATTAAGAGAGCTGAGGAATGAGTAGAAAGTTTTGAAAAGATGATGACTGCCCCATTTCTTACTTAATTGAGGAGGCAGAGGCTTGCACTGTGGAACAAGAAAACAATCACTGTCCGAACTGCTTTTGTCAAATGTCACGAGGCAGATTCCAGTAGGCACAGAAGTGAATCAGGAAGTTGTTGTAACACCAAAGGCATACTAAAGAGAAAAGCACAAGTCAGATATAGGAAATAAACCTGGATTGATATAAAATGTTGCTGTGTACGCTGGAATGCACTAAATGTGCTACACTATTACTACATTAAGTTCTGCCAGCTCACTGAAGGTGTAAGGGAGCTCTAACAATACCAGGGAGAAGAGTTATCTGTGCCTATCAGACCAGAGCCCAGCCCCTGAATGCTACAGAGGAAATCCCCATCACCAAAGCGTGGGAGGCTTTTTTCCATTGACCCTTAAAACACCTGCAGAATCTAAAATACCACATAGAGCATAACCTTGTTTCAGTAGCTGATTGGGGAAGAAGTCAACAGAGGAAAAATGCTGGTGGCCAGGGGTGAAGTAGAATTATACAAAATAAAAGATGCATATAAATATTTTCAAGAAAAAAAGAACAGTAGATGATTATGTTGGAAACCCACATGATCCAATAAAAGCAGTTTATCTACAGTTTTCAAAATTGTTGAGTTCAAAATGCACTTCTAAATAAGAAAGACAGTATTTCAAAGTAGTTGTTTATAAAAAGAAACAATGATTTGGGTCATTACTTATTTTCACTTTTCAATAACATTGGACCTCTCAAAAGTGCTTATAGAATTTACCAGTCTGAGCCTTCCTGGAAGTCACTGTAGCTCTGCTGCAAAATTTCCTCTGAAAACATGATGTTTTTCCAGTATTTGGGCTGTCCTCCTCTTCCTTGGTGCATATGTGGGCTGGAGCAGCAGTTAGACACAGGAGATCAGATTGTGGTGTTTGTGGCCAGATTTTCACAGGAGCTTAGCGATCAACGTGCACCCAGAATGTGAGCTCTTTCAGAATTCTGGTTTTCATGTGTGGTTGCTGAACTATTTTTGAAAGCCTGGCTAGCTGCACAAAACATAGCCATTTAGCACTCAGTTGCTTACCTAGCTAATATATGGGTAGTTATGTGACATATACAGCCAAATGATGTATTCATCTTCCACAAATAAATTAATATTATCAGGGAATTATTAACAATCAAACTACTAAGAAACAAAGCAAAAATAACCAAGGAAAACAGACACAATTAATTCAGAGTTTAAAGTCTTGTAAAAGAAATCCTAGAGGCCTCAGCTCTGCAAAATATGTGAACAGATTTTCAATCCCATCCCTGTTCAGGAAATCTTGTTAAGCAGATACCTTTAATTCACTGATTCCAATGGAATTTACACTTCATGAGTTTGAAAAAACAAGAATGCAAGTACAAGAGAGTTTACAGTTGGCAGACAAGTAGAGAGGGTAGGGAAAAAATGAAGAAAAAGAAAGCATGCATTAAAAAAAATGGTGCATTTCAAAATACCACAAAAGCCCCCTGAGCCACTGGGCAACTGTTATCCAGTACACCTAAAAAATCACACAAGCAACATACGTTGAAAATAGAAAAATATCAATATATTCAATGTACTCATTAATTGTTGGGATAAAAAGATAAGCTTTAAGCCTACACCACATGTGTTCTGACAGTGTAGCCTCCTCAAGCACTGAGCTGTACAATGGGATTATAAGTTTTATAAAAATTTTTATGAGGTCTCTTGGTGAAAGAGGACTGCATCAGAGAGAGATTTTCAGAATGCTCTCCCACAACAGCTTCCTAATTTTTTGACTGTCACTTTCAAAAAAAAAACTTATTTCAATGTCACCCTTGACAAAGATATGGTAGAAGATTCCAGCTTTTAGGCATACATTGCAGCATATCTGGGGATGAAAAAGAGCAACAAGTTCATTTTAAAGCAAATTCAGTAGTGCATATACAAACCATGAATATTAAGAATGATGCTACATTCCAGGGCTGGAAGAGACCTCAAGAGACTATGCCATTCATGATTTTCCCCAAAGGCAGGTTTTAATGAAAGCCTGGAAGAGAATAAGAACTGAATTATGATCCAGGATTTTTGGTCACCTGCAGAGAAGAGTCTGACCCAAAGAGCACATCCATAGCTCTCTTTGGGCCATTTTCACTGATTATTCTAGACTGTCACCAGATTACCCACACAGGTATTAATAAGTTCATATTCATAAATTTAGCACTTCTAGATGAATCACAACATTTATGACATGGCTTTTTACATGTGCTGCAAGCTGCCACAGTTATTTGATATCTGAACCACTGGATGGAAAAGCTGGATGACACATGATTATGATTCCTAAGTTTTCATTTTTATTTCAGCCTAATTTTAAAGAAGTATGACCATCACTTCATCCTAATTAATATTATATGAAACCAAGTTTGAGCAAAGAAATATTTGAAAAGCCTAAATATGAGAGTTCAGTTTAAAAAACAGTATGTTTGTGTTCAGGATATGTGAAGCCTTTTTCCTAACTGTGCTACAGATTCCCAATGGGAATTTGGTGAATGACCTTATCACATTGCACCTGGATTTACATCTGTAAGACTTCCAAGTTGCATGGTAAGGACTTCACAATATAACCTAGAATGCGGGATATATGCACAGCAGCTCTTCACAACACTGATCTTGTATTAGGGGCTTTTAGGCTCAACTACAGCTCAGGTTAAGACTTTTATCTTTTTTCTAATTCCTTAAGAAAAAAGAAAAACAGAAGATGGTTTCCTGTTCTGCCAAAAGGAAGAGAGGGTGGGTGCAAGGCTACCAGAAAAAACATGCCCAGGTTCACCACTCTTCCTGTTTGTCTCTGCAGCTACATGACAGATGACTCTTAGTTACTTTCAGCTTTGCTAATAATTTGAATGGCAACCACTTTCTTGCATGGTTTGGGGAAGAACAGTGTCTCACTCTGGAGTAATGCCTGGGCACTGATGCTGTTGCCCAAGTGCTGCAAGCAGGAAGTGCTGCTGCTACTCTGTGAGAGTGAAAGTGACTGTTTATTAAGAGAGCTTTACACTTTGTATTTACAAAGTATATATCTGACTTTTCAAGGATTTTGGTTGAGTTCAATGGCCTCTACACATCTTTCCAAAATTACTGGTGAACACACAAAGTGAGAAAAACAAATTATAGGCAAAATTTTATGCCTTCTGACTTCCTTCTTTCTTCTGCTCAAAATCAGCAATCTTGATGTCTGACAGTCATGGATGAATAATAAGTGTGAAAATCTTAATAAAATTTTCCAGATGGAATTGGGTTTTTTACAACTGAGTTTTTTTGAGCTTTGAGATGTCAGAATCTTTTAAATCTCAGAGGTCTTGGTCTCCCTGTTGCCAAAAATCAATGAAATCCATAGCCTCACTCACTAAAAAACAGAAAAATGAGATGCAGCATTCCAGAGAAGGCAATACAGAATCACTTATCCACAAATCTTCCATGACACCATTTGATGCAAATAGTCCCAGATAGGATGTCTGCCTGCAGCAGAGTGCACACATCTGCTTCTCTTCTTCAAAGTTCCACCATAACAGCAGTATAGCAGAACTAAAGGTTAACGACTCTGTAACCTCACCTCAACCCAGACATCTCTGTTCAGCACTATGCTGTATTCTGTATGTGCTGTATTTTGAAAGCACAGCCATTTCTCAATAACAATTTAAAACTGTTTTTGTCATAATTTCAAGCAGAAAAGTTAAATGCAGGCTCTGAGAAACAAGATGACATGCAGAACGTGAGATAAAATAATCAGAATGGTGCATTATGTCATAAAAGCTGGGGATTAATAGTCTTGTTTGCAGTAATGTGGATCAAATGTTACCTTACAATCTTACAATGATTAGCACCTCACTTTACCTGTGAATCTGCTGCTGTGTGAAGAATGATGCGCTGCTCCCCACACAGGTAACAGCATGTGATGCACTGCAAAAGGGTATACATTCACCCTGAAACAGATGTAAGAAACATAAGTGAACAGATCTAAGTTGTAGCACAAAAATTACAGCTACTCACAAGGCAGCTCCCAACAGCCAGGTGTGTTTAGCACATGCTCTGATGTAACACCCAGCATCAAGTCTTTCCTTCAGAACAGGGAGGGCAATATTTCTACCGCTTTTGACCCTCTGCTTTACCCAGTGAAGTATCCTTCCTGTACTTTCCTCAAAAATGTGAGCTGGAGAAGACCATTTTAAGGACACACAAGAAAGGCTGATGAAAAGAGAAATTCTGTTTAAATTTAAAAAATAAAAAAGTCTAGTTTCTCTTTTGTTTTATTATTTTAATTCTTATAATTAAGCTGCTATTTTGCCATTTTCCTTTCTCAAAAGTTTACAAATGAGCACTTAGTAGCTCAAGCTACTAAAGATAGGTTTAGGAATGGCCTAAAGTGAAAACCTTCAAAGTTAATGATCTAGCTAAAAGTATAGTTTTCCAATAGCACTCAGGGAGCTTTTGCACACTCAAAGGCCATCTAGTGACTAAAGTTAACAATCACACACTTTTGACATGGCAATATTCAAATCATATTACTTACCAAACATGCAACAGACCATTATACTAAATAATAGGAAATATTCGAAGTATGAAAGTATGGCATAGTTTCAAAATAAACATGTTTCCATTCTTTTCACCCAAGATCAGATTCTTACCAGTTTTTCCCTTTAGCCAAGTAACAAGAATGCAAGAGGCAGTGTCAAAATCATGCTAAGTGAAACGTAGTGTGCAGTGCTTGTGTAGTGAGGTTTGGAAGTTTGAACATGGTTAAGTAGGACTAAGTCTACATCAGCACTGCCTTCAAAATTTACTGCACCAACACAGCAGATAGAAAGTAAATCAAATATATGTACATTATTCATTAGACAGCTGGTGGAGGCAGCTGAACCATACACTGCATGCTCCAAAATTCTAGTTATTTATTAAAATGGTCCACAAGAAAAGAACACAGAGATGAACGGCCCTGTGTGCTTGGCATATCCCAAGATAAAAGCAATCATCTGCTGAACTTGCAGCACATAAAGACTGACAGCTCTAATGCATATGTTCAGAGAGACTTGGGGGAAAATGGAAATAAGATAGAAATGTGTCATCTCTCATCTTTTTGGCTATTCTTATCATCGGGCTGGGATACTCTTACAAAGCGGACAGAACAGATTCTGAGTCCTAGTTTACAGGTAAAAAGTTGGAGATACCCACAAGCAAAGGAGACTCAGCATACACTCTCCTCTGCCACCAGAAAATGCCTTAAGTTTAAATAACATAGCCCAGCTACAGTCCTTGTTTCAGAAAATGAGAGAGAGACTGCTTGGGCTTAATAAAAAATGACAAAAGTTGAAACAACCTAGGGACACTATACTTACATATACAAAGGGATATGACAGATTTGAGAGCTTTGGCTTACACTTTTAAATACAAAATGGATCAATAACTTTTTTTTTCCACCAGACAGAACATTCTGTAGAATATTTATGAGGTCCCAAAGACAGGTCGTGACAAGTCAAAGTTTTGCTCTTGGAATAATACAGTGCTCATTTGAATTTGATAAAAGACTGGCAAATATTTAGCTTGGCATATATGCTAAATGAACCAGCTCAGCAGGCAGAATCTTATCTTTTAACCTCTGCTGATATTAGGACTTCAGTAAATTTCATAGGACAGTATAAGCAAATTTTCTTTAAAATTTAACTACTTCCCTTCTAGCAACACTTATTTCATTGAGTCTTTGAGAACACAGGACAATTTAACATCAGGTCTGAATTTCTTTCTTGGTCTGGCCCTGCAAGCAACTCTCACTGTCCACAACTACATTCCCTTGAAAGAGTGTCATTCAAGAAACCATGATAGCATTATCTATCTATCTATCTATCTATCTATCTACCTATCTACCTATCTACCTATCTATGCTTTTCTTCCACCCTGCTGAGGTACCTGTCTCTCCCACTGTATGCCTGAGCCTGCCCAGCAACTCACCTATCCATTGAGTTTGCCTGAGCAAATCTTCTGGCTCATAGTCCAGAAGGGAGACATATTCTTATTTTTCTATAATACTTTGCCCATTTTTCTTTCTTTGTCTCAACTTAGTTCTTATTTGACCCCTTTTAAGACTTCTGTGACCTTTTCTTGGACTCATCTAAAATGCTTAACTCTGAGATAGATTTGAATAGGTGAAATACAGAGTAACTAAAAGACACCAATGCAGAAGTGATTGTTTTGGACAGACAGCAAAAACCCCCTTTAGTTAGTGCATGGGTATGATTACCATGGTGTTTTCATAGATGTCATGTCTTAATGCAAACATCAGATGTAGGAAATCATGAGAATCATTCCCTTTACATGTTTCTTCTGTTCTGCTTTTTATATTTAACTCTCTCACAGGAGAAACATGCAGAAAATATTTTTGATACAGTTATTAACTGAATATCTTAATTTCTCTAGTTACAGAATGCTGCTGAATTTAGTCTGCTGAGATAATTAACTGTCCACAGATTTCATAAAAGGACTGTTCAGACAACTCCAATATTCACAAAACCTGAAATTTACAAACCACCAGACCTCTGTGGAGAGGTAAAAGATCTTGTTTGGAATCTGTCCCAGAAGCCTCCGACAACCTAAAATCATAATAGCAAAATAATGCTTCTTGTATGCAACATTAGCTAATTAATCTGACTTAATAGTTTCTTCAGGCAGCAATCAGAACCAATTGCAAGAATGAATTTTAGTTTTATTAAAAATAATAATTGTTACAGTTAATAAACACACGTAAACCAACTTAACATGAAATTTATTAATGTAGATCATTCCTATCAACCAATTTTTCATCAATACCCTTGTACTCTGTTTTGACATTCTGCATGCATGTCTTCTGTATCAATTTACGGGGGGCACAGGGAAAAAATATGAAATATTAAATAATATGAGGCAGTTACTCACATGTGGTGGTGACCTCTAATGCATACTTGGGATTATTTTTGCTTGAAAATATTTTTGTGGGTTTATGTGGATGACCTATACAAAATTTAGGCTCCCTTTCATTAGCAAACCTAAAAACACTTACAAAGAAATTGTTCATTGACTTGGCTTATTTTAGGTTTGGGATTGTATCTTCTTTTTGCGAACTACTGGGAAACAGGATCATCCAACATCTCCCCTGTTCATATTGGAGGCTATATTTTGGAAGAAAACATATTATCCCAAGGAACTCCTTTGTAAGCTCTAGATCAACAATTTAAAAAAAAAAAGTAGAGAAAAAGTTCCCATATAATCATTAATGAATGACACTGGTAGATAGTCCTTATGGACTATGTGATGTAGATGTAGAAAGTAACAAAAGTATAGACTTCTTTTTTGATAGGAAATGAAAATCTGAGGATTATATGTTGCTTGCTAGGGAACAAGTAGTTACTGCACAGGATTTTTCATAGGATTGTCTTCTCTAAAATGGTCTCACTCCCTAAGTGAAAGAGGTAGCTTCTTCTCCAATAAGCTTACGGTGGTGAAGGGATTTATTTTGTCTGAACTTGAATAATCAGTTAAGGGAGAGGAGACATAAGTAGAGACTGGACACCAGGCACATCAGGTGCTGAAGACAGATGTACAGCATGCCCTTTTGGAAACTACAGTTTCTCTTCACTGTCTACAGGGGAAGCGGAGATGAAAGGCACAGACTGGATACAAACTTCTAGATAACTAAAGTTCATAGATAAATCCTATGCTAAATGACATTAAACAGCAGAAATTCTGATTGCTAGAAAATTTTTTTGTAGTCTTGTATGTTCTGGTATCTAAAAGTGCTTATTAGCACCTTAGAAGATAAAAAATGAAGTGAAAACAAAAGCAAAAACTGTTTTAAAAAGAAACAGCTAGTATTTGACTTGCAGACACTATGTATTGTTTTTGACCCTTATATTTTAAAATTAGGAATATTAACTTTAGTGGGCCCAGCAGCAGTTATGCTAAATAAATGACGTTAAAATTACTTTTCCAGATTCTTTCACTTGATTCTTTGGTTAATTATTCTATTTCTCTTTATATACAAACGATAAAGATATTAACATTATTTCTTGTCTCTCTTTTAGTCTTTTGAAAGAAAAGGCTACAAATGACTCCTTGAAAACTACTTGTAACTAAGCATAAACCTCACCAGTTTATATTGGAGAGAACATACATAGCAAAATAAGCAACAGAAAAAAACCTAAGTTGTTTAATTAACAATGAATTATTCTGCTATTGGGCAAGGAAGAACAAATGCAAAGTGAAATATGTAACTGTAAGTATGATAAATAATCTAACCCTTAGTAAAACAACAGTTGTTTTATTCAATGACACTCAGCCTTAAAGAGATTATTTCAAGTCTTTTACCTTATTTCCAGATGATCTATTAGCTTATTAGGCAGTATGCTATTACACATTTCATTGTTTTATGGGTATTTAATAGCACAGATATTTTTGAATATGCTGTAGGACATTTTTCACAGAATCACAAAATAATCTGACTTGGAAGGGACCCTCAAGGATCATCGAGTCCAATTCCTGGCCCTGTACAGGACCATACCCAAGAGTCACAGCATATGCCTGGGAAGATTGTCCAAATACCTCTTGAAGTCTCTGAGGATGATGCTGTGACCACTGCCCCGGGGAGCCTGTTCCAGTGATGTTCTTCTGGATGAAGAACCTTTGTCTAATATCCAACCTAATATCCTCTGACTCAGCTTCAGGCCCTTCCCTCAGGTCCTGTCACTGGTCACCACAGAGAAGAGATCAGTGTATGTCCCTCCTCTTCCCCTCATGAGGAAGCTGTAACTGCAATGAGATCTCCCTTCAGTCTCCTGCAGGCTGAACAGACCAAGTGACCTCAGCTGCTCTGCAAAAGGCTTCCCCTCCAGACCCTTCGCCATCTTTGCTGCCCTCCTTTGGATACTCTCCAACAGTTTCCTGTCTCTTTTATATTTTGGCTCCCAAAATGCCCCCAGCACTCAAGGGGGGGTCACCTCTGTGCAGAGCAGAGCAGAGCAGGACAATCCCCTCCCTTGCCCGGGTGGTGAGGCTGTGCCTGATGCACCCCAGGACAGTGTTGGCTCTCCTGGTTGCCAGGACATTGCTGACTCATGGTCAGCTTGCCATCAAACAGGACCCCCAGTTTCCTTTCTATGGCACTGCTTTCCAGCATCTCATTCCCCAGTCTGTTCATACAACCAGAGTGCAGATTCCATCACTTCCCCTTGTTGAACTTAATTTGGCTGGTCATTGTCTGGACATCTAATTTGTCAAGGTCTGAAAGTTTGTAAATACTTCACTTGCTGTTTTTCAAGTTGCACATTTCTTTTCACTTTACTTTTTTTTTTGCTTCTGATTAAACTTTCTTCTTTCTATTTCTACAGGCAGTCAGAACTTTTAACTTACTAAGTACCTAAATACCGCCTAAGGTAATTTTCTATCAATATTTGAAATGGAAAAGAGGCTGGAATCCTACCTTGAGATACCTCTCAGTCAATGTGATGATTACTTCTCTAGAGTAATGATTACTGTGGAGAAAATGCTTACTGGTTCAGCAGAGGAACCACTGGGTTCCTTATTCAAAGGCCACAGGAGAATTAATATATTATAGCATATATTGTGAAATTAATATATAAAATATATATTAATTGTGAAATTAATATAATGTTACCAAAAATGCAGTAAGTTCTGCATTAAGCCTCTTAAAGATACAGTAGAAGAAAAATAAGATCTTCTCATGGATAAATAATTGGTTAGAAGATCACAGATAGAAGGAAGGGATAAATAATCAGTTTTCCAAGTTGGTAGAGACCACTGGTAGAGAGACCTCCAGATAACCCATCTGGGCCTAGGACATTTTTGCCTAATATATTTACAAATTATCTGTAAGTAGGGAGTTAGAATGTAAGTGATGTGCTCAAAAAGCAAATGTATATATTAATGAAGACAAATCTGTGAATGCATGACTATTAAAACACACAGTCTCCTGGTTGTGTGGTGGAATCCCTGATCAACAAATCATCACATGATTGGAAAATATTTGGAGGAAGGATGATGACTTTATTAACTATCCACAGTCTCGGATGAAATGCTGGGCTACATGGGCTTTTGGAGAAATTTAAAAATCTAGTAGTAGCATGAGTAAACTACTTATATCTTTAAAAAGTGGTTACTACCAAGTCTATAAGTTAACTCTATAGTATTTCCTATTTCTCATTTCCCAGCTTTGGAGAAAACTATGTCTTCAGATGTGTTAGCTTCCAGCAGGGGCAAGAAATCATCTCTGCTCTTTATCAGACTTGTAAGATAACCTGGTTCATTCTGCAATCCCCATAACCTCTGTGTTAAGGCTTACAAATAGAACAGTATTTACAAACTGGGCAGGGAGACTTCATAACTAGGTCCCCAGTACAAATACACCCATATGGTCAAATTCTGAGGTCATCCTCCTCCTAACTACTGCAAAGAAAGCTTGAGACCACGGAGAAAAGGGTAGAAAATTCTGTTGTCATATGACTGAGAGAAGGGGACTCCACAGGCAATCATTATTAAGGCCTGGTCTTCCAGCACAGAGCACCTCCCCTGTATGGAATACATGGAGAATAGCTCCTCAGCTGTTGTCCTTTCTCTGATTCTTCAGTCTTAGAACAACCTTCTTCACCTTCTTCACCACTTGCTTTGCTATTACAGAACTTCACAGTTAACTTTGCTTAGAAGATGCAAAAGTCTGCCAGAGAAGTTCAAAGTTGTGGACTGCCAAAGCCGCAGTGCTACATCTTCTCACAATAGAGAACTGTCTGCTGCAGATGTTTTATATACCACAGCTCATCTGTCTCAAAGGCTCCTTCTCTCTCTTTTTTTATGTTCATCCCAGACACAGTGGAGAAAGTGACTGTAGAATTTGCTTACAAAATGCCTGACTGATCTCTCTTTCAGCACAACTTCCCCAAATGACTTAGCTGTGGAATGTTTTGGGACTGGTATCTAGAAGGGTTAGCAAGTTTCATCACATGCTTGGGGGTTGGTAGTCAGGGTCTGAATCATAAAGCTAAAATCAGGATATTTTTTATGCAGTTTCATTAAAAATAGCACCTAAAAACTCATCAACTTTTTATATTAATATTTACACATTTGAAGTTAATACCTCAGCATCACAAAAAAACCTTGTAAATGTGTATTAGGTTTGGAAGAGCACTTACACCACTTCCTTAAGAAATTTATGCTGCACTATATCTGTTTCAAGGTTTGTCCCTGAGTTCAGTTGTACTTTTCCTGACAACTTTAGCAGGGTCAGCATTTTAGTCTAACAGTGACTTTCCTGAATAAAATAACATCAGAAAGCCACCAGACAGTTTCTATCTGCTTCCTAGAACTACTGTCCATTTCAGAGCACTTTCTTGACTACAACCCAGATTACTGACTTGATGTCATTAATTTTCAGGTTTTGTCTGTGTTCATTTCAGGTACGTCTCTATGTGCCAGAGTATGTCTCTCTCTGCCTGCTTTTCTTTGCATTGGAAAAAAATATTGGGCAGATAAAATTGCTTATCTGAAATCTTCCTTCCCCTTCACTTTTCCAGAGGATTGCAGAGAAAAACAGCTGAACATTTTTGACTGATATCTGTGGTATTGTTTTCATATGTAAAAGAAGAAAACAGTAAATGAGAAATAAGAGTGAAAATTGCATGGTATGGGAAAAAAAGAAAAAAAAAAAGGAAAATTATGTAGTTATTTTTTATCCCTTGTGGTTTCTTGGGTTCCTTACAGTTGTTTTATATGGCTGTATTAAGCAAGAAGTGATTTAAAATGCAAAGTTTGTACAGAAATTGGGAACCAAAACCACTGCCAGAATTTATGGTACTTAGAGACTTTTTTGATTGCAGTAACGTGCATAAAGTATTGTTAACTGTGCAGTAACTGCACTATTTCATAGCAAAATGGAACTAGGAGTTTATTTAAATTTTGCTACCATGTTCAAAGAAATGCCTCCCCTCATCTATGAGCATGTAGCGTGAGGTACCACAAAATTTTGTTCTAGCTGTAATGAGAATTTCTCTGTGAAAGTCCCTGAAAGTAACTTCAAACATATTGCTTATTGTTAATTACATCCTTCCTTATAAGTCCTGGGCAGGTATTTCTGCTTTCCACAATTTTTATCAGAAAATTCTGAAACCATCAAACCAATTTTACTTTATGTTATAAGGAGTGAATTTCCATTTTGGTGCTACAATCACTACAAAATAATCAGACTCAAATTTATCTGTAAGACACTGATATAAAGTAAGAGGGTAATGTGGTACTTTGACCAATATGTGATGGCAGTCTTCAAAAACTACTGTTCTCTGATTAACCAGACATTGTAACAGGTCTCTAAATGTGCTGCATTGCAACTTGTCAGGAAATACTAAAATACACAGAAGCATCCAGGGGATTTCCTAACTTTGGAGTGATTTGAGTTTCTTAGTTTTCATTAAAGTGGGTGTTCATTAGAGCTATGGTAAATAATTTCACATTTCACATAATCAGATTTTTTTAAAAAACAGTTAATTACCTTTGAAGTTGTTTTCCGTTTTTTTTTAGCATTAGAATTCTCATTATAATTTGCTGACTGGTACCTCTTTGCTACAGCAGGAATAATGAATAATAAAAACACTTTACTGCAGTTGTTATATTCAGTTCCACAATGTAAGATTGTTCCTTTAGTATTGTTCCTTAAACATAAGATTGTTCCTTTAGGACACTGGGGAATGGAGTTCAGAAACTCATTTTATTTATTTGTTAAGCACCACCAGTTTCTTCAGTGATTTAAAAAAACAGTTTTCTTTACCTCTGAGTCATACCCTGGACTTCCCCCTTCTGTCCTGGCTGGTTTCCTCCAGGAGGTGTCCATGGTCAGGCTGGGCTCTCTCACCTGTGGTGGGGACACTGGGGAGGTTCCCTATCACTGTAATCTGCCAGGGATTCAATAGCTCTTCCAACACTGGGCTGCTGTTCAGCATCTGCTGCTGGACTCACAAAACCTGAGCAGGAATCTGCTAAAAATGGAACTAGGAGTTTATTTACATTTTGCTACCATGCTCCAAATTTTTCCTGGACTGTTTCTCCTTTCCCTTTTTTTGGACCCACTCGAACCTGCTCTGGACGGGGACCTGGGAAACACCCTGTGGCCTGCAGCAGCTGCCCCAGAGCCAGAGGGACTGATAACAGAGCGACCAGCTCCAGGAGAGACTTTCTGAATTTGCCATCTTTTTCAGAGCGGTGAAAGAGTGGTGTCATCCGGTATTGTTCATTTTGTGTGCTGGGGGGTGCTGTGCCTGTTAAATAAGCAGGTTCTTTCCATTTCTCTCCGAGGAATCCTTCCCGAACCGGTTGCGGGGAGGGGCCGTGTGGGTTTGCTTTCTGGAGGGGCCCCCTTTTGGAGGTTTTTTTCCCAAACATGCTCTAAACCAGGACACCCTGGTTTCTATTTTTTTTAAGGAAGAGCTGCCGGGAGCGCAGTTTCCCGTGCCCCTGGCCGGGTGCAGCCCGCGCTGCCGCAAGCCTGGCTGCTCTAGAGGAGCTGTCCCTGGAGAGGGGACGGCTTGGGACAAGTTAACCAAACCCAGCTGCCGGGCGATTTCGGATGGCACCGCGGCGGCAGCGGCAGCAGCAGATGTTTCCCTGGGGTTTGAGGATGTGAAAACCTCTGCTCTGCTCCCCTCCCTTCCCTGCTTTCGCCAGAGGTGAGGGCAGAGCTGGCGCTGCGGCCGGGAAAGCCCCACACGGCCGCCTCCGCCCGGGAGATGCAGGGAAGGGAAGAACGGCGAGCCTGCCCTGAGGGGCCGGGCGGGGCGCGGGGCCGCCTCACGGGCCACCCCTGCTCCTTCACCTCCTCCTACTCTTCCTCCTGCCCACCCTCCCGCCGGCAACCCACGCAACCTGTTCCAGCACCTGACAGCCCTTTGAGTTGAAGGCATTTTTCCTGTCATCCCATCTGAACGTCCCCGGGTGCAGCTTGAGGCCGTTTCCTCTGGTCCTGTCGCTGTTCCTTGGGAGCACCCCCTTGGCAGCCTGGCAGTTTGAAGTTGGTGTTGCTCTCTGGGACACGCTGTTCCATAATGCAGGAGCTTTCCCCCGTGGGTTTTGTTTTACACCTGCCAGCATTTACATTGCCATGCCGGTTGGAATGGCAATGATTATAGTGGCGGATGTGAAGTATGCTCGGGTATCAACGTCTTTTCCTACTGTGAATATGTGGTGGGCTCAGGCAATAAAGCCTAGGAATCTGATAGATAGTATAGCTCATACTATTCCCATGTAGCCAAATGATTCTTTTTTCCTTCATAGTAAGTCGTGACATGAGAGATGACTCTGAATCCTGGGAGAATTAAGATGTAGACTTCTGGATGACCGAAAAATCAGAAAAAGTGTTGGTATAGAACAGGGTCTCCTCCCCCTGCAGGGTCAAAGAATGTGATGTTGAGGTTCCAGTCTGTAAGGAATATTGTGATTCCTGCAGCAAGGACTGGAAGGGACAGGAGTAGGAGTACTGCGGTAATTAGGACTGATCAGATGATTTAGCCATCTACGCCCACCCAGTGGGATTGAACTTCCTGTCCCTGTATGAATTTGCAGATGGATGCAGGAAAGCGAAAGGATTATTTAATTTGATTCCTTTCCCCCACAAAAAAAAGCAGAGAGTGCTGGCAAGAGAGGTGTTTTGCCTTCCCATGTGCCAAAGAAGTTGCATGCCAGAGTGGAGGTAACAGTCTCTGCTTCCTAGTGAGGTTTGGAAATTCAAACACAGTAAAATGCTTAAGCTTTCTGGTAGTATTAAACTAGGTTATTCAATTAGTGTACATATGTGCTGGATCTTATTCTATGGTCTGGTTGTGATCAAAGATGAAATTCAAAGTTCTACTTTCTGACAAAAAAGGGAAACCCACAAGCAGTATTTTAGTACATAGTCACTAAAACATCAGAGTATTTATACTGTCTTTGGTTTGAGTAGGCATGAAAGACATTGTCTGCTCCAGAAAAGACATTTCCATATTATTGCACTAAAGTGTTATTAGTACAATCTGAGTTTCAGACTGATGTAAAGAACATGAGACTTTTAATGTTAGTTTGTTTATTTGTTGGGTTTTTTAAAATTTTTTGTTTGGTTGGTTTGTTTTGTTTTTCCCTAGGTTTTTTTGTTTGTTTGTTTGTTTTGTTGTTTTTTTTTTTTAACTTACTAATGTTGACAGTTTTGGCATTATATTTTACCCTAACTGAATAATTAAACTTCTTGAGGACAATGTAGAGTGTGTTTCTTCAAGTGTCTTAATTCCATTTGAGTTTTCTGAGCCATCTAAAGGAAGTTTTGATCTTACTGAAGAGATACTGCATTTTTAACTTTGGCATGCTAGATGGTAAAGTTTCTTTTTAGACTCCCTAATTTAGGGAGTTAATTAGGGAACTTAGGAAACACATGAGTGGTGTAGTTGTCAGACAGAAAATATAGAGATCCACTTGCAAAACATAAAACAGCTTATATCTTGCAGGCTTTTTGTCTAAAGAGTTACACTTAAATGAGACAGATTAGAAACTGAAATTATTTCTCCTGTATGACTTTAAAATGACAAATAATAGAAATGGTAATATTTCTGCACAGCACTTACCATGAATAGGCAATTTAGAAATGACAGCTGTCATTAAAGTACCTGGATCTAGAAAACCAATCTTGACTATAAGCATGATTGAGAAAAAGAATTTAAGTAAATAGATTTGCTATTAATATAATCTTTTGGTACAGAAATCTGTTTACTAAAACTATCTCAAAATATAATTACTTTAAAAAAACTTCTGGCAGTTACCATGACTTAAATATTTTCCTATTACTTTATAGAATTTTAATTTCTAATACATGAACTAAACCAATGCCAATTTAACACTATATTATTATAATATAATAATACAGCACTTTATTAATTAATAAATTGACTGTTTAATTATTTAAGGCTCATTCTAAACTGTTTCCTGCCAATGAAGGTTCAGACTAAACTTAATTTTCTGATAAATTATTGTGAAGATACTTGATTTTGCAACTCTAATGCTGATTTTAAGGTGGAAAGATTCCAAAAAAAATATTTTATGAAATATTAGGCATAGGAATAATGTTAATTTGGTCTAATATATCCTGGTTCCTCCTTTGGACAAGAAGTAGGATGTACTTGATGTGAAACTTTAAGGGGGTGAATGGCATTTCCTTTCAACTCAATGGGCATAGGAAAAATGTTAATTTGGTCTAATTTATCCTGATTCCTCCTTTGGACAAGAAGTGGCAAGAGAGTCTTCTTTACCTGAAGCTGTTGTAACTTTTTCCTCAGGGTGGAGCAGGAAGGTTTGTTTTCCGGTGTGGGAACAATCCACATACTATTTCTCATCTTGAATTGAGACTCCTCCAACTTGCAAAACCCCTTAGAAATACAAGAGCTCAATTTCTCTGTAGTGTCTGTACTGCTGCCCAAGTAGATTTAAAATGCATTGAACAGGATGTTAGCATTTTTCACTTGAATTTAACTCACTGCAGGCTCTTTTGGCCTGTTTCCATGTCATAAATTGGTAGCAAAACTGTTGAATTAACTCCGTCTGATTTTAAAGTTGAGCAAGGAATCCTCAAACAACAGGTACTTTATATGTCAAATGTACCTTTTGAGGGCATGGTCATATAAAACTGGGAGGTTTGAACTACCCTGGACTTGGGGGTGAATTGGCCCAAACTTCTGTGTGTCTGATCACTATGTAAACTGTTTTTCTTCGTATATGTTCTTCTGCAAAAGGAACTGCTGTTCATACTTTCTATAATGCCTGTAAAAAGCACAAGCCATTGAGGAATCAGACTCTATATATTTCTAGTGTATTTGGCTGATTAGAACACTTAATTAAGGAGTTAATTCAGAAATTCATTTATTTTTTTTTCTCAGAGAGTACTGAAACAGAAGATTTTTCCTGCTGCTTGCTAAGGATGGGTTCAGACAGAAGAGATAATTACTTTAAAATGGGGTTAAAGCAGTTCCCTTGTGCTTCATTTTTTGTGGGTCTTTCTGTGGGACTTACTGAGTTCTTGATACTTTATTTTTTCCCTGTGGAATGGGAGTCTTTAACCTGGTCACATTCACTCTTTAAACAGAGAGAAGGAATGGGAAAATCATTTGTACTAGACACTGCTGCAACAAGTACCATTTCAATTCCAAAGGAATTCCAGTAAGAAAACTAAAAAAAAAGGTTTTAAAAAAATTTTGAGAGACTGTCTCCAATGTGAGGAAAGAAGTGTTTGAGAGTTGGAATTCATTTGTGGACAGGAAGATTTGCAGAGTGAAATGGCTGCTATGCGAGTGAAATGTGTGTGCACATGAAAGAGAATTTAAACTGACTTTCTCACAATATAGCATGCAATGCCACTGAAGATGCTCAGTCAATCCAGAAGTTCTACAGTATCTTCCTTTGGTAACGGTATTGCTTTCACTTTTTCTGGTTCTTTTTAAATAAACAGTTCAAGAGCTCCATCTTCAGGTTTAAGGTGTTATTGTAAAAAAAAGATTTCTATTTGTATTAATTACTACCTAAACCTCCTACAAGTTATGTAATGTACATCTTCGCATATCTTGTCAGTTTGCAGTGCTTAACATTTCTAGATACATTTATCCTATTGCATTTTGATAAACTTTGAACAGTCTTTTTTTAATATTATTTTCAGTTTTTCTTTCATTAACTCACTTGGTTTTGGTGGATTATTTTTTCCCTTTCAATTATGAGATATGAATAAATTTGACATTTCATAAAATATTTATGGACCATGACAGAAAATAGTGGCAGATGGAATTTTAAAACAGGCTGCTTTTCAGGTAGGTTTTGGTTTTTGTTAGGAATTAGTATGCTTTTATTAAAATGAGAACATATGCTGATTTTTGTCAATGGGGAATCTGTTCAAGTTCTTTTGGGAGCAGAATTTTAATGAAACATTAATTTTGTTTCTGCCAGTGCAGCAGAGCTCTAAAAGACTTAAATATTACAGTGAGAAAAATTTAATCAATTTTATTTTTCAATAAAAAGCCTCTAATATTCCATGCGGTCTTTGGGGAAAATAAAATTATTAGAAAAATTTTGCTCTTCAAACAAAGTTGTGAGACTGGTACATAACAAAAACATATTGTGAAGTAAATTAAACTGTTAATCACAGAAATCCACCATCTATGAGATACTCTTATCAGTATCTTCTGCCTTTTTTTTTCCCCTCCAAGTGAAGTTTTATTTCTTCCTACTTCCTAGGTATCTTCAGTGGCATACTCTGCTGATATTCTGACATGACAACTACAGGTAGTTCTTTCAACTTACCCTGATTGTCTTGTCCTTAGAGCCAGAGAATTTGCCTTTCTTCTGTTTTCCATAACAACACTGTAGAGAAGTACAGTTGCAGGTTTTGTAATAGAAGGGGTGACTTGATGGTTACCCATCATTGCTTAAATTGTTGTTTAAATCAAGATAAATCAAACCCAAGTTGTGGTTTGACCTCATATTTCTTCTTGTATCCAGCAAATATCTCAATTTGTTACCAGTTCATGTGACTATTTATTGTTGCTATTAGTTTTTGACTATTTAATCTAAGTTAACAACAAGCACCAATTTGGTGTCACATAACTATTTAGCCTGCCTTCTTAAAATAATGGCAAATATGTTTAGTATTTTATTGTTGCCTTTTGTATTTGAGAGGTTCTCCTCCATTGTTATTTATTTTCTTTTCCAGATTTTTCCAAATGAATTAAAAATCACAATGCCTTAACTCCCTGTAACACACATTCTTTCCAAGCAGAAGGTGGAGACAAAGAACACAAAATGCTGAGAGGCTGAAAGCTGTCCTTATCTTCCTGCTGGCCCCAGTTCTGTCCCTCAGAAAACTCTGTCAGAGAACCTCAGATCTGACTTGTACTAGAATGCCACCTGAACAAAATGTCAGTTTTCTTCCAGAAGCCTTGAGCATCTTGCAAATCTCTGCAATCTTTATGAACGTTTTTAATTCTATTTAAAATAAATGCAAATTACAGCAGAAATAAAATACCTTATATTTCATCTCATGAAGAAATTAAGAAGGTCACAGTCATGACAGAACCCAAGTTCATTGC